TTTTCCATTTCACATTTTTGTCCACTTTTGAAAATTGACATTATTAAGGCAGATTTCCAACCACCCCATACATTTTCCTTGTTGATCGATATATTAAATTCTCTGACCAAATATGGTATTATCCCCCGTTTATATTCAGAACAGAAGTAGTTATTAAATTCATGGGCTTTCTGTGCATCATTCACGATATCTGCAACTTGGCATTTTTGGAAGGAGTGTCTTCTGTTTACATCATCGGCGATTTTGTTATCATCGAAAATTAGCTTAAGATACGATTCTTAAACAATGTTCTTTTTATGTCCTACTTCTTTCATAATATGACGATACTTATAATCTCGCTGCGATTCATATCGTGAAAGGCTTTCTTCATTTTCTTTTCAATTTGTGAAATTGTTTTGTATTACTCCGGGTCTCCGTTATATTGTGTTATATTTCTCCGTTATATAAGTCGCGTTATATACTCCCCGTCTGAATTATTTTTATGAATCTAACGGGAAGAGAACGTTGGGGGGTTTTCAACGATATTTTTCGATTTTGTGCATATATCTTCTAAATGTCCTACTAACATCTCGGAAACAACACGGTTCCGTTTCAGAAAATGTGGCAGTCCTTTTGTGTCAGCCTTCCGATCTTGCCGATCGATATATAACATCACAGTAGTATAACGTTTCTATCGGTCAAATAAAAAATATCTAATATAGAATATTGCCTTGGACCGATATGAAAAATATCTGACACAGAATGTTGATTTGTGCTGTCTTGTCAACATCTTGAATTAATACTGCATCGCACACTATTTTTTATTAACTGTGTTTTTACTTTTGCAAACTGCACCTTGCCAATTATCGCATAGATTTAAGGCCCTACGATTATAATCAGATTTGTGCTTCTATTCTAATTTTCTGCTTACTCGCAGATAATATCAAGAATGGAAGCTGTTATTCTTACAGGTACAGGCAGCTGGGGAGATTTCACTGGCGTCAAAGGCTGCGCCGACGTCAGCGATTAGAAAATATAGGCAGAGCATTGCAGCTGGTCACGTTGCAAAGTGAAGAGGCGCGGCTATAGCAAGATTCATTTCAATCGATGAATTAGACATGCAAGAAGCCTTCTCGCAACGGCCACGTGCTGGAGAGTTCGTTATACCATACTCGTACAGGCTCGCTAATGGGCATGGGTAAAAATTCTAATATATGTAAGCCTAAATTAACAAACCGGAAAACCGGTGGAAATGAAACTGAATAGAATGTGTGAATAGAATATCCAATACCCAATTTCTTTTCATTTGTTTTTCGAAATTCCACAAGTTTCAGCTATCGGCGCACGCATCCAGAAGAGCTAAACCAAAAATGTTACCGTCTTTATTACGTGATTGGAAAAAGAAATACTTGGATACGCGGGATCGCATGGAGAAGTGAGCTACCGGCCGCGTACGTATAGAAAGTGGGGCACCGACGAATGGAGGCGAGGCGGTTCGTAGGTCACGGGACGACGCAAGAACGGCGATAAAACCCTGGTGTAACCGACGTTTCGATAACCTGCAGGCGAATTCAAGTAAGAAAGATCCAATGAGGATTCTATTATTATTTGAAACTCAAGTCGGACCATGTAATGCAATAATCATACTAGGAAGGACTTCTGCTAAAAAGATAATTCATAATTGTGGAATCAATCAATCTTTCTCCCGTAATGTAAAATCGAAATCCAAGTAATGTATTATTTCTATGCTATAATTGAAAAATTCAGCGGAACGCTTTGTCAGTGAAAACATGTACAGTGAATGTTGGCCTATAAGAATTATTGTTTCTTCCAGGAAGATTTCATTAAAATGTTATGCGTGTGTATAATATGTTAGTAAATTAGCCAGAAATGGTAAAAAGGGCTTATAATATATTTTGTTTGAAAGGCTTACTCGTTTGATTTGAATGAGCGTGAGAGTCCGGTTACTACGTACTCCTCTGAGAGTAGAGACTCCACATCCCCGAGAATCCAGAAAGGTTAATTTATATTTTTTTTCAATTCTGCTAATTTACAATCTGTTCACTTGGAACAATTAGTAATGGACACTGATAGAAGTTACTATGAAGGAATCTATAAGGGTACAGTCTAGAATATGTTCACGCTTTAGCCTATACACATGGTTCACTTATTGTCCAACATGTTTCACTGAGTGGTTTTGATTCGGGGTGGGCATCCCCATCTCTTCTGATGCCTCTTGGCTTCTCTCCGATGATTACTCTCTGTCAGTTGAGATGTTCAAATTTTGTACAAATTATTGTTGGTGACGAAACCACGGAGCGGTTGCATATATATCTCAGTGTTTTGTTTTCGAATCTTTCTCGGATCTCCAGGTTTTGAATTGCTTGGCAGTTTCCCAGAGTTCGATGCCGTAAGTTCAGTTGTTGGCTTGATTGATTGTCTTGTAGCACTGAAAAATTTTGGTTGTATAAGGAGAGCTTAGGACCTTTGGTTAAGTAGGCCATGATAATTTGCTTAATTTCAGTTGTGATTCTTTCTCTTTTTCAAGATGTGAGGTTTCCAGGTTCAAAGTGACTGTCTAATGTAACCCAAGATACCCTCACAAAAAGTTGTTACTGAGAGTTCTGACGAATTAAATTTTCACTTTGGGAGCACTGTTCTTTTCGAAGTGAGTAAGGTAATCTGTTATGATTTTGTGTGTTTATATTTATCTCCCATTGATTCGTCCATTCTTCCTACTTGTCGCAGATGCGCTTGCAGGTGTTGCGATGCTCAGGGGGAGTTGGAGTCTGCGTCGACAGCTAAAATAGCTGTGTCATCACAGCAAATGTAGCCATCATTGTGCGTTCTGTTGTTGGTAAAGTCAAGAAGTATAGATACGTACAGAATTGGTCTAAGAACTTCCTTGAGGGACAGCGCTGCTGTTTGGTGGCTTAAATCCAGAGAAAACATCTTGTATTTACTTTTGAAAAATAGCGGTTGGATAGATTACGTTTTTAAAAAATGTAATAGAATGAGTTGCGGGAGTAATTGTTTGATTTGAATAGGCAGTTCCTGCATGCAGACCCTATCAAATGCTTCCTGTATCGTCAAGAAACAGCAGAGCAATACTTTTCTTTTCTTCTAGGCTTTGAGATATCTTGTTTACATTTGTCGGTGTGTCTGATCTACAGTTGAGTGACCTCACGAACCCATATTGAAAGTCTGGTATTATATTTATCGGTTAAAGTTTAAGCTGTTGTAAAAGTAGTTTTTCAAATACCTTATAAATTTATAATTTTATATTTTTGAACGTATTTAGCATGAAATGTGTTATAATGGATTGTTTGAGGGCGGCAATTATCGCTCGCAATAAAGCAATCGCCAATTAATGCGTCTGTGCCCTGGGATAGTTGAAGTACTTGAATCCCAATTGCGCGAACTATGACGCGCAATGAGGCGAGAAGAGCACCCATTTCTTTCTTGGGAGGCTGACGCTGCGTGCGAAGACCAAGCAGTTTTGGACAGATTGAACACCACTCACGCCGCCCCCTATCGTTTGAACTGAAGAAAGAAGACTTGCTACACAAAAACATGAGTTTTTCTCAGGGGGACTTGGTCGCGACCTACAATATGTCTGCGTTCTGGGTAGTTTCTAATCAATTGAATTCCACACGCCCACAATTTCCTATAGGGCAATGGAAATGCTTCCTTTCGCTGGCAACGAAGAATAGCGGTTTTGATGAATTAGAAGATTGGATAGAAAAGTATCAAGACGTTGACAAAATCGGGAGGCGAGCGCACACAGCTTCACTCTTCACCCCGCCTGCAGAAATGCGACGGAGCGTCACTTTTTGCGTTTACTCGCATGCGCCGCGTTTACATTTGTATCGCTTAAGGCTGCTAATTTGAGCATTTATCGCTCCAACCGAACCGGCGCTTTCACCAGTTGGCACCCACCGCCTAATTTAGCCACATACACACTAAAGCACCGGATTCCTGTTGTTCCCCACCACACAACTGAGATATTGGGCCCCAAGCTGCTCCCGCACCGTCTTTTCACACACTCACATACTTCTTCTCCCCATCTGAAGTAAGAGAATTGCCCCCACGTTTTTCCCACACTGGGTCCACACCATTCCTTTGTCGTCATAGTCTTTGTTTCTTTTCTCCGGCGCCCCTTCTCTCAAACAACGCTCCTCTGTATTAGACCCGCCACCCATTACAAGAAGGTGACTCTATCCAGTTCTTTTGAAATTCCTCATTCTTTTTACACGCAGCAAAGCAAAACATTTGGATATCTAACAGTTGCATCTGATATTTTTTACGATCATGTGTGTTACATTACAATATGTACAGAAGAAAGTAAAATTATTGAATGGGTTTCTTTATTTATGCGTATAAAAGTAGCAGTTCATTCTATTTAAATAAAACTGAAGTTTGAGATTTCAAAATAACAATATTTGCTTAAAATTAATGCATAATCAAATAGTTGACATTGTTTATCTTTGCCATCTTTTAAAATTTCCTTAAAATATTAATTTTTTCTCACATTTTCAATCATATATATTATATATATATATATATATATATATATATATATATATATATATATATATATATTATATATAATACATATTAAATATTTTCATTTTTATATTTCAATTACACCTTCATTGTGTTATTTTTTGGTTGTTCATACGGTGAAATTGTCACTTTATGCCACTTTCGAAACGTTAATTGCGGAGCGAGAAGTATTGAGAAACATTTTGAAAAGGGTACAAAGTGGCAATTTTCAACGGTAACCAACCAAACATAACACAATGAAGGTATACAAGTGACAATATTTAAAAGAAATGCTTCATAAATATATTTCAATGTCTTGTAACTCTGTGATAATTTTGATATCTGGCTACATTTAAAAATCCCGCTAACATTGTGATGCATAAAGGTGCCTGAAGCTCATTGGGTGAAGTCGGATACAACGCAAAGGGGCACTCCCTCCCCCCCCCATCACGCCGCTGGGAAGTGTGGTTGAGTACAATCTTCGATAGTCAATTCGAGAGCAATCGAGATCGAGGAGCAAGAATAGACTTGTGAATTGGAAGCGGGAATCTGCGAAATGTCAGTGCCATGCCAGGTCAGCTTGTGTCAGCTTGTGAAGCATGTTCAGAACGGAGCTGTGAACACGTTGTGTAATTATGGCGTGCTTTAATTTAGACTCGGTATTTTTTCGTAAAAGAGAAAAGACAGATTGGCTAAAGATGTTCGATACTTCAAATGCAGTATGTATTGCTAAGTGTATTTTTGGTAAGGAAGATGTGGTACCTGGTTTTTTTGATGTTTTAGCAGAATTAATAAAAAATCATAAAAAGAATTATGTCAAATACTTGGTCTCGGCACGAAAGTGGCCTCGTGCCAGGCATGAGAAGCCCCTGAGCCATAAATCCATGAGATCGTTTCTATTTGCAATCTTTAATTTTGTTGTACCCATCCAATTATGTGGGAGTTTTAAGAATCGCCGGGTTGTAATGTTGTTTCTTGGAAAACTCCCCACAAAAGGAAGGAATGAGACTATATGTATTGGACATGTGTTAGAAAAAGTGGACTTATTGTCTGTAGAATGGATGTACTCCATTGTTGAGCTGGAAAAGAAAAGAAGAATTTTCAACATGGTATACATTGCGATATAACAAAATATATAATACAATAATAAGAGTATTTTATGGAAAATGTTTATCATTTGCTTTTAGGTATTAAATTGGTTTGTACAAGTATACATATGTGGGTTACTAGAGAATGTGTTTTTTGTGGTCAAAACTGCACACAACTATAAACTCGAATATTATTGGAAATCTACTTGGAAGGAAGTTTGTCAAAAAGCTATTTTTGAATCTGTCAAGAAAGATAAATTTGCTTATGTGTCTGATGAGGATCATAGTATGTGGGAAGTAGGAGGTAGAGCTACACTTCATTTTCGTTCAACGAAGCATGGTGTACTACGCCCATTATTGATAAAAAGGTTAGTGAAATCTTCAATAATATGCTTTCTTTTTGCATTTATTTTTTAGGTTTGGTATTAGTTTTTAAAAGTAACATAAATAATTTGATAATATCATTTTATTTGTGATTATTTATGAGTTGTATGTATTAAAATTGTCTCAGAAATGTATATTCTTTTTCCAGTTGTAATGCTCAACAGAAAATTGTTCCAGACTCATTAACAAGAATAGTACAACACTTCTTAAATATTCTCTATTGCAAAATTGCTTCAGAAACTCCTTTCAACAATTCAAAAAATTTCCTTCAAAAATGGTGTGAAATATATCCTCAATGGAAAGGCAAGAAAGTACATTTTGTAAAAATGGATGTAAAAGATGCATTTGGAAGTGTGAATCATACACTTTTGAGATGTATAATCAAAGTACACTTTCGAAGATATGTGAATTCAGGTAGGAATGTTTGTTAAAAGTATTGAATGTTTAGAACTGAATAAATCTCTTTTTGTTATTTGGAGATAAATAAGAAAAATGCTTCAATATTCAAAATGGTGGAATCAATTACCAATGTCTTGTATTATTAATTGTTCATAAAAAACCTTTAAGATATTCAAAAAGGTGAGTTTTGTTTTATTTATACACCTAAAAATAGCAAAACAAATTTTAATTTAACTGGTTCTAAAATTTGGGTGTTGGACTAGACTGATTTTGAAACTATAGGAATGGAGTTGGCCAATTTTGAAACAAAAAGGGTTAGACTTTATTGCCTTTGAAACTCAGCCCTTCGGATTTTGCTGTAACAGTTGTGGACTAGTTTTGAATTTAAAAAGACGGATTTGGCTGGTTTCAAAACAAATGGTGTGGTCTTTGGAAATAAAGAACTATTCAAATCCAAAATTTTAAAATATTTTTGAAGACACAACATTCACTAAGTTTTTCAATTACAAGTTACTGAAATATGCAAGTATTTGTCTTTAAATATTTTCAGTTTTGGATTTTTGAACTTAGCTGATTTTGAAACTTAGCTCTTCATTTGCATTGTATGTTTATAAATTGAGGGGGTCATTCAACTATTCTGGTGTTTCATATCATAGAATGGATGCTTTACTTACAAACATCGCATACACATGTTAAACATTGAAGCACAAAATTAGTATGATTAAAAAGGAGAAATGATTCCAGGATTCAATTATAAATATATTAAATACAAAACACTATATAGTTAGGGTCATTACGATAATATAACTATTTGATAATATTTTATGGTACAAAATAAGTTAAACATAGAAACAAATATTTTGGGCAAAAGAAAATCCTCTTTCAATTCCTGCTTAGTATAGGAGTTCATGAATGTCAGCTCTTGCATTCTATGTGCGAATATAATCGTGAATGATGAGAGGTTCATTGAGAAAAATTGAAGGTTTTGTCATCTCTTTTCTTAATGCCTGAAGACCATGCATTTGTGAGGACCCAATTTTAAGAGTATTATGTTTCTGGGTTTGACAGTTCAATGTTTTGAATCATCTTAAATGTAGCATTATCTTTAATTTATGTTTGTTTTTGCATCTACTATAAAAATTCTCAGAAGTATGGTTTTGTTGACCAAAATGTTGTTATACAGGTCAATTAATTGCAGTAAAAACAGTCAAATTTAGCTCAAATAAGACAAGGATTTTATTTGATGTTTTTGATGAAGATTTTTGTTCTTATCATCATCCAGTACAGGTGAGTCAGGATGATGGTTTTAGTGTATTGTTTCAATAAATGTATGTGGTGTTATTTTTGTGTAGTATTCTTGGTTGTATTCATTGTTAGGATAGAAGTGGCTATGTTCCCATATTACATAAACTCTACCAATAACATGAGAAAGTATGTGTGATGTGAGCACCACCAGTTTTAATTATTTGTTTGATGAACTACACCCTATTAAGTTGTAATTATAAGGTCTGTAACTGTAAAAGAAATGTTGGCAGAATTTGGCCCTATAAAATGGATTTAATTATGTAGCACTTCTATTGCAAAGCATGACATTTCATTACAGTAAGTGATTGAGTAGTGCCTTTGTGGAGTTCAGTTTTTGATTCTCATGTTACTTCATATTAACAGTTATATAATGTTCTGTTTCAGTATTACCCAATTGAACTTCTGTTTGGAATAGTTGTGAAATCTTTTGAGTGTTGTGAGTTTCAATGGCGAAGGAAGTTTTACAGACTGAAGTGTGGATTGCCACAAGGAAATGAGCTTTCTGCATCATTGTGCAATTTTTATTTGAATGCTATGGATCAAAAATATTTGCGTGAATTTGTATCTGAGAGCTCATTATTAATTAGAGAAATGGATGACTATTTGTTCATTACTACATCACATGAGCAGGCTGTTAAGTATGATTCTTGAATGCAATTTCCATATGTCCAACAACTCTCTAAGTTGGAGTATTTTAGAAATATTTGTTGCAGGTTTTACTATTTTATGCAGAAAGGCATTTCAGAGTTTAATGTTCAAATTAATGCTAAGACTGAGACAAGTGACACTCATCATGAAATTTCTTATCTTAAATACATTATTAATACTGAGGATTTGGAAATTGGATATGACTATTCTAAATATGCTAGTAGTGACATTGCTCATTGGTTGTCACTAAACAGAACTGTTAAGCAAGAAAGGTTTGTAAAAATTAAAATTTTCAATGTTCATGAGAACTTTATTCAGGTTCTCTGTGAGAATTTTAAATTTCACATTATACTTGTGATTGAAATGTAAATGTGATTATTAAGAATTTAGCAACGTTTGGAAATTATTCCATATCTTTCAGCAATTCAGCCATATTTTGGAGTTGTGCCCTTATTTATTTGTGTCAGTTCATTTATCTCCTTTTCATTATTACTACACCACCACTTCATCATTTCTTTCTTAGCTGATTCCTTAAGTCCACCTTCCAAAACTTGTAGTATTTTTGTTTCTTCTTTAAATAAGAATCTATTCTAATGATAGTTTTCTTTTCTGAAAGTGTGATAAAAGGTTAAAACTACTTGGCTTCTCTCTCTTGACCATATTTCTTTTTTGATCTCTTTGTACTTACGAGACCTTGTATGCATTTGATTTCTGTAGATGTTATTTGACTCTCTACCAATGGAAACCATTTCATCTAGTCATTACAGCCATGTATGCTTATAAGCAGGGCTCCAATTCGGATGACCTACATGTTCTCTGAAAATGACCTATAAAATGGCATAAAAATAAGGCTTAAAACAGCTTAAAAATATAATATGGCAAGTGACAATAAAATGGCTTAAAAATATAAAATGACTAACAAATAAGAGGATTGTGACCTAATATTTAAAAAAATACTAGAAAATTTGTACGAAATTTTTTTGTATGCAATAAATTTACAAATTTAGATAACATTTATTTATATAAAATTATATTTAATATAAAATCTTAATTTTAGGAGGAAATGTAATTCTTAGCTTCGATCTTCCTACCGTCAGTTTTGAAAGGTTGAGGAAGTTACTGAAGATTCATGTAATTTTGAGAGTTCGAAAAACAGAATCCACTGCAGTATGAATTTTGTCATGTACTGATGATACAATAAAAAGTTTGTTTTCATGTGACATGGTAAATCAATAAAACCTTCACTAACAAAAAACAGGAAAAGGAATCACGATGCGTAAAATTGAGCTAAAAATTGAAAAATGACAAAAAAAACCAATAACTGTATATTCCTATGACTTTTGTATTGTGATAAACATTCATTTACAAATTAGCTAGGTCTAGAATGCACCAATGAAAAGATGACATGTCATCAGAATCTGAGCACTGTTTGTAAGTCTAAAAAGCAAATTATCTAATGATGTTATTTATAAATTAAATATTATTGATATCTCACGTTCTCTATAGTAGTACTCGGCAAAATTTACATTTATATCACCTTTTTGGCCTGTTTAATGTGCATGAGAACATTTGTAATATTTGTGAAGTAGGAAGCATCCAAGAAAAATAGTAGATTTGTGTTATACTTGGGAACTTCATACTTCAAACAAAATTTCTTGAAGGGTTTTCTGAAAAATATATTTTGAGGAGACTTAGTAGTTTAAAGCGATACTCACATTATTTACATTTCAGTTGATAAAATTGAATGTTTTTAAAGTTTTTAGTACTTTTTTCAGAAATGCAAATAAAAAAATGTAATTAAAGGTTTTCAAGTTGTGATACAAAATGTAACTTCCTTTTACATAGTATTTCATGACTTTTTTCAGATTCATAAAAGATTCCACAAGAACAACTTGTGTATTGTCTGATATCTTAGTAAATGCCATGTTTAATCGCCCACAAACAGTCTTGAAGATTATCTTCCAGTGTGCCTATTTGCAAGCCTCTCGAATGCATGCAATGGTGGATCGTTTGCTGTGTGGTTGTTTCAGAGAAGGATTTGTTGTTAAGTGTTGCAAGATATGTGCAAAAGTAATTCGACGAAAATCTGTAAAACGTTTTCAGAATCCTGATGGTTTGTATATCTCACACATTTTATTCTTTATTGTTCATTCATATTATTTTTATAGAAAGCTTGTGTAAATATTGCAATTAAATTAGATACTTTATTTGGTGTTAAAAAAAAGAATGACTATATATATCAAGTTGGGAAAATAAGTTTTTTTATATTTAAATTTTTAATTATTTTTTTCTCTCATTTTGATCATGATTTTTAGACAAACTGATTTGTTTGAAGATTGATAATATTTTGACTTATTTACACAAGTATGCATTACTGTGTAGAATTTGTATATATTATCACATCAAAAAATATACTATTTTGCAGTGTATCTTATGAATAAAAGTATTGTATTTCCAATACAGTTGGCACCTATATAACCATGAGAGCATTTTATGAGCGATTGCTACCATTTGGAAGATACCGAGAAGAACTTAGGCAACTCTCCTTAAGAATGAAGACACTTCAGTTCGTTATTAGTGACGTTATCTTGGAAATTGAATATGTGATTCAAGATTTGGTAATTCAGCTTCAGTCATAACTCTGCTGAAATTGCTCTGCTATCTTCTCACTTAATAGTTTTCTTTCTATTTCAGATGTCACGTACCAGTGGAAAGCCTCTGAAAAGAATTGATTTTTGAGACTTAAGATTCTTTTTAGCTCAGTAACTGTTTTTTGTTTATACACTTATTATATATGTATTATACCCATTTTTTAAATTATTTTTGTCATGTTTTACTGACTTTTTATTATTGTATATATATTATTGTATTAGTATTTGAGGCTGCAATTGATTTCTTGTGTCTTCTTTTAATACTTGTTTATCATTTGTAAATAATGTCAGAATGTCATGAATGCTAATTATAGTGAAATGCATTGATTTGTGATTTGTTCTAATCTACTCTTTCTCATCAAAGAGTAAAACACAAATATCAATTATTAATGAGATGTATTAAAAATCAACTTATAATTTTGAGTTTTTTCTTAAATGTATTTTCTGTTAATTTTCTCTAGTTTGACTTGAATATTTGAGATAGATGTATGTGGACTTATGTCCACACAGTGCTGAAATATTAAAGCTGAAGGATTGTGATTTTTAATCTCAACCTGGTCTTGTTTTTATCCTTTATCTTATTCTACAGTTTCTTATTACTACGGGGTGGATTTTAACAAAATCACATTTTTCCCCCTTTCATTTGAGAACAATGTCAATTAGTAAAGACGTTAATTTTATATTGTGATGAAAGGAAATTACCCATTTTATATGCAATTTTGCATTTAATTGATTTCAACTAATATGTAATTTTTTACATTTTTGCAAAAAATTTTAATGCATGTTTTGCTTATTTTATTGATTTTAATATTATTTTAATGGTACATGCTTCAAATAGTATTTGAGATGCAACAAATGTTCTCCACAGAATTCATGAGTAACCTATTTGATGTATTCTATCATATATTGTAATGACAGTCATTGTGAATAGTATGCAATCTTAGTCTCTGTGAACACAGGATTTTCATTGTAATTTAAATTTTCCAATAAATGTGGTTGATCTTGCAGCCCTCTTGAATTAGAATCAGATTTTTTAAATTAAGGGGATACTTTTCACCATAAAAACAAATTTTTACTTTACATGACAAACTTTCTAGAATTTATTAAAAAATGGCGCCAAATTTTTTCTTAACATTTTACTCGAATAAAGCAAAATACTATGGAAGAGTCTCTGAAGTTCCATAAAAGTATGCTTATAAATATGTTGCTTGAAAATGAAATGAAAGTATGCTTATAAAAATGTAAATGTTAAATATTTCTTTCATGATATTAAAAAAGACAATTTTAGATACTATGTCTCCTCAAACATGGCTCCAAATATTATATTCTCAGATAGTGCAAAGTTCGCTTATAAAAATGACGCAGATCGGATTTTCTTTGAACTCCGAATTTTCGCAAAAGTTGAACACAGAGAGTATGTGCTGTTGTAGCTCCACTAGTTTTTCCGTTTATTGAAGTAATTTGGGGTAACTCCCGAATGAAAAGGATATTTTAAAAAGACGCAGCTCTTTTACTGTGTACTATATGCTTAAGAAATCCCTATAAAGTAGTATTTCAGTAACTGCGAATGTGCATGCGTTGTTCGTCCAAGTCCATCATTCACGCTTGGTAGCCCTTGTCATGACGAAACGTTGCAGAGCCTCACAATACAGCCACAGCCAATCTCAAAAGGGAGGGGGGGAGTGGCCTAGAAAAATTACGTCGTAGGCGGAATGCGGACCTCCCTAGTTCAGATGTGGAAGAATTTCCAAATACAAATACATAGATTGAAACACTTTTATGAACATGAAAGTAAAATACATTGACACACACACATACACACACACACACACACACACACACACACATATATATATATAACGTTTGTAAAACGACTTGAAGAAAAGACTTGTGTGGGAACTCCGTTAGTATTGACTGCCAAAAATAGGAGTTGTCATGAGATGCTAAGTTCCGATAAACAATTACGTATCTCTAAAATGAAAGACGATAGCCCCGATTAGATTGCGAAATTTTGCATCTCGTTTAATGTCAAATTAGAAAACGCCAATAATTTTTGCAAAATTTAAAAATTATTAAACAATTTCCATTTTTTTAAATTGTAAAACGGGAAGGGTTCCCTTATGTCCCAGAACAAAACTGCAGAAATTTAAACAATTTTTGAAACAATTAACAATTTTACAAACAATTCCGAAATCCGCGCAATTCCCGCTGGGCAATGTCTCGAAATTGTCTTTGAGATGCAAAATTATTGGTAATATCTACGTTATTTGTTGATAAAATACTGTTTATTGACTTGATTTGTGAATTTTGCTGTTTTTTAAATGGTTCCCTAGAAGTGTCTTTCGTTTCGAAAAATACAAGATTTTGCAATTTTGCAAATTTTATAAACATGAACAATTGCAAACTTGCGATTATAATAATTTTCTTATCGATAAATCTATAGTAAACTTGATATTGGATAAAGGTCCTGGATTATTTACAAACAATAATATTGAAAGTAAACGTGTATGAGAAGCTAAATGCTCTAAAATTAGTGTTATTGTGTCTTGTATAAACGTATTTTTTTCAAACAGAATTGTGTTAACTGTGGTTAAACTTATATATTCTTATATAATTCAATGTATTTACTTTTACGTTCATTAAAGTGTTTCATTTTGTGTATTTCTATTTGAAAATATTTCCACATCTGAACTAGCAACGTCCACCATTTTCTACAACGTAATTTTGCTGGGCCGCTTCTCCTCCCTTTTACATTGACTACGGTTGTTAGTGTGTCTCCGTCTGCAACGTTTCGTCATGACAAGGGCTGCCCAAACCGTGGAAAGGCTCAACTTAGCCGCAGACGGCGCGGTTAATTTTTCTTGCTAGAACTACCAACGGGTTTTGCCATTTCTTTTCAACTATGGTTTGCTGCATATTCTACAAGAACGCATGCACCTTTCGTGCAGAAAATTCACAATACACCGATACTTAACCGACATACAATATAAAAATGATGGAAAAGATTGCATCTTGTCGTGATTACACATATGTTGCTTGAAGAAGCAGTAGTTCAGTAAACAGCGTTTACTGATTGCGATGCAGCATGAAGGACATTCTTCAGTGGCCTTGCCCTCTTATTGTGAGTTTAAACCTAAACGTAGTTTACCGCGTTTTGAAAGAAGCTACATATCATCCAACAGAGACATTCTTCAATAGAATCTGTCCTAACCCTGTGAGCTCTCCTAGAAATTAGGGTCTACAAATGCCACTTATTGGAATCATGAAAAAGAATGTCGTTGAGACAGTGGTCCCAAGATTCTACGGTGGCGCCTAATCTCACGTTCCAAGGGCGCGGGAAGGGATTTTAAATCTAAACTCAGTTTACCGGCAGTGTATTTTTCCTATTATTAATCCTGTTAAATATGGCTGAATCTAGGATGAAATACAGTGTTGATTATTTGAAATTTGGTTTTCTTCCATCAAAGGTGGACAAACGATTGCCCATATGCCTTTTGGGTAATAACGGTTTGAGCAATGACTATAAAACCATTGAAACGCGTTGAACGCGCGAACGTCTCAAAGTAACGATGATGGTTCGCGGGCATCTTACAATATCTCATTGCTTGTAGCGAAATCTGGAAAACCGCACACCATCGGAGAACAGTTAATTTTGCCCGCTGTTGAAGAGGTTTTAAAAACTGTTGTGCATGAACCTACATTTAAAACACTCAAATGAATTCCTTTGAGTAACAACACAGTACAAAGACATATTGATTAAGCTCTGACATTGAAGGCTTCTTGAGTAATTATCTGCAAACAAATATTTTTCTACTTATCTGGACGAATCAACTTTACTTGGCAATGAAGCATAATGATTGGCAGATGTTGAATTTGTTATGGACGAAGAAATCCATGAAGTGCTGCTATTTACGAAAACGTTGGAGACAGACACTAAAAGCGAATCAACATTTAATGTCCTGAGTGATTTTTTAAGGAAAAAATCGATTCCATTCACAAACATCATTTTGGTGTCAGCAGATGGAGCTCCTGCCATGTTCGGGCGACATCGTGGGTTTATAAGCCGTTACTCGTAAAAGAATTGTACCAGAAGTAACTGCAATTCACTGTGCCATCCACCGACAACACCTGGAAACGAAACAGTTGAGTGATAGATTGTATCAGATAGATTGAGATTAAAGCAGTTAAAAAAATAAGATGCAATGCGTTTAATTGTGCGACGAAAATGATGAAGACATCCAACGATTGCTCTTACACACTGAAGTACGCTGGTTGTCGAACGGTGCACGTCTAAGAAGATTTTACTCACTTATTTAATCAGTTTTATAGTTTCTGGAAAGTAAATAGCCAGATTTAAAAGAAAACATGATCAAATTGAAAGCAGACATAACGTATTGGACAGATTTTTTCAAAAACTTTAATGACATTAACTTGCAGTAATAAGGGGACAGCCTAAATTTAATAAAAACAAAGGATGTAATTTCGGCTGGTATTGAAATTTATGAAGCAAAATGTTAGTAGAGGCGTATTATCGCAGTTTCCAAATTTGTTACACGCAGAATGTCTTGATGAGAATATTCAGAATTACGTTCAACATTTAAATACCTTGCATGACTTCAAAAATATATTTGAAGATGTTCTGTCGATGGAAATTCTACTATAGATCATAAAGTCATTTGATGAAACGGAAGTGATGAATGTGGTATTACAAGAGAAGCTTCTCGAGCTTAACACCAAAGAGGAGCTGAAGGTGAAATTTAAAACAGGCTCTCAAACATTTTGGCTGCAGACAGCAATCCCCGAAAAATATCCTGGTATGTAGAAATTTGCGAGAAAACGTTTGATTCGTTACAAACCTTTTAATAAAAATTGAGCAGATTGACCATCACAGAACGGGAAGATTTGTAGTTATTCCTTACAAAACTGAAACTAAATATTTGTTAATTTGCTGTCAATCCACCAAGTATATCCCTCCCATTAAAATTATGATTGTTTTTTAATTGTTGATTTGCGTGGTTAAAGTTACGGTAAGTTATTAATGTTTAATTCTAAATGTTAAGTCTGTCATCATATATTTTAGTAAATAGAATACAAGAAAATCTACTATTTTTATTTTTACCACTCCGAATTTAGGGTTGGAATTTAGTCGCGGCGCATACGAGTATATCCATCGTTAGATCTAATCTTTACATTTTTTGGCGAGTTTTGCGAATTTGGTAGATATGTAACAGCAGGGAGTCCATCGAAACTTTGAAGGTTTTTAAATTGGTTTACGAAAAAGAAAAGGTTGGAAACCTCTGATTTAAATCGATCGGATATATCAATTTTGAAGAAAATCGACTGAAGTTTAAATGATTGACCACAGACGGTCATTTTGACGTTTTGCCGACAAAATTTTTTTTCGGTATCGAGACTTTATTGTTCTCTAGTATTGAGGATCTACAAAACACGGATTCTGACCGCACATGTTAGAAAAAGTAATTTAATCTATGTAGAAACAAGATATATACACTTTTTCTTAATCAGAGCTTGGCTATAAGTTTTTCTGTCAAAAATTCGCCGTTTTCCGGCGCACGATTACAATACTTCCTCTTCTTACAAAGTAAAGGCAAGAAAGTAAACGGGATCTCTGCATTAGATACAATACGCCTAATGATATAGTATTTAATGAAATATTTTTGAAGGGATGTAAGGAAGCAATAAATCTTTGAATGTTATTATACAAATATGAAATATTTATTTACGTGTATACAATTCAAAATAAACGGATATAATTATTTTGTATTGCAATGATAAAAAACATGATTTGTGAAAATATTTTGCGATTCATTATATACAAGTAGTACATAAAATGTGCATATTTCTGAGCCCTTAACTTCTCAAAAGAGTCCGTGATGAGGTTTGTTTGTTTTTATTACTGGTTTGAAATTTTCACGTTAGTAGCGCGACATCAAACTGAGCACTTTATCGTACACCAGTTCTTTCACATCGATAGCCCACAAGTAGTCCAGATGGTTAAACTTGCTGTGAGTTATCTTGAACTTGCCGATGGGGTTACTTATTTCCTTGTACAACTTGTTAACATCCTGAAAACGAGACAAGAGAAAGGTGTCAAAAGTAGATGAAAATGAATTCATACTATGCAATAAATATAATTTGGAATTGTATCTAAACAATATGTAATAACGAATTTGTGGTAATATAATTCGAAGCGTGTTATATAAGAGTTTAAAGAGGAGAAAAATTCCATTTAATACGTACATTAATAAAATACAATAGAATGTTCACACAAAAACAGATTAAACAAAAGTAAAATTAACTAAGTGTAGCAAATTCGCACAATTATATAAAATGAATGTACATAATATCACATACCGTTATTTTTACAACGCGAATATACTAACATCTATTTGTCACATCTATTTGTGATACTCGATATAGCTCCATGAAGGGGCGTACTCACCTTGATGGCAGCGAGCCAATCGTTACCGCTGTAGAACAGAGCTACGGGAGCAGTCACCTTGCTCAGTTTTGTATTTGGGCGGCGTCAGTGAGCCGTAGTGGAAGAGATTGGTCAACGTGTAGTCCCATTGCCGGAAACTTAACTGCACAACCGCAAGTCACGTGATTAGAAAATTATTAACGGGGAAAACTTCATTTGGGAGTTAGTGCGATAAAATAATTACTCAGTTTTCGAAGGAAAATCTTTTATCTTTAATAACAATTGATATTGATATTAGCTGAATTGATATTACGAGGTTCTGTAATAATAATAATAATAATAAGGGTGGATACATTCGTGGATACATTTAACTAGGTTATCATAGATAAATAAATACTTAGTGAAAAAAGAATGCATGAGGCACATAATCAGGGGATGGGTGAAGAGAAGGAAACAGGATTGCGACATACTTTACTCAAGAAGGAAGACTGCGAGATTAGTACGAACCATCCGGTGTAAGAAACCAGAAGAAGAAGCTCAAGAAAATATGTAAGAATTATTATTCTGAATGTAGTAATGTCTGAAAGCTTCTAAGGAATAATAAAAATATAAAGATGAAGATAAATAAATTCAAGTGATACATTCATTCATCAAGTAGCAATCGTGAACTTTTCAAAGACGGTTCAATTTACTTTTGATCGAAAGCAGAATCTTAGTGCAGACACAAACATGCGTTCTTGTGGTCCTTTGACTTCTCTTCAGCGCGCTATTAGACACCGGTTCGTACACCAGGAAGGAATGTACTGAGTACTGAGGTATCAGCTTTTAAACTTTTCCGACAAACATAGAGTGAGAAATATAAATTAAAGCTATTTTTTGTTGATGGTTCTAATTTCTTGTTTACAATTTTTTGTGCCTAAAATATTAGCATGTGACCTGAGGTACTTACACGAGACAATCTCCTGCGAGTAATGCAACAACTCGTTAGTGCTGGCACCAGCTGGGGTGTGACCCAGGATCACAGGCAGCATAGTCTAAATGAGAATTGATCGAGTATTTTAAACGTTCCCTAACAAGAGCATTTTGTTTTAGTAATACCTACTTTAAGCATCATAGGTTTAATATAATATGTTATGTTAATAATATTAACATCCACTCTGTTTTGACCGACATACCGAGTTAAGTTGTTCACTGTCGTATCCAGCGATCAAGAACAGCACGTTCTCACACATGAACTGCGTGAGAGCCTTGTCTTGGCACAGGAGTTTGCCCCCCAGAGTCATCAGCTCGTTGTTCGGCAGGAACTCGTTGACACCCATTATACTGAGCAGAAACTGCAAAGTGAAATAAAGATATTACTTTTCTAACAAATTGGAATATAATGGAAAAATGTATAATTTGTCATTAGACTGTTTTTTGAGAAGTCAGGAACACTTGTACAAATTATTTGAAAAAAAATTTAAAGGGAAATTAGTAATGTATCAGTACCATTAATGACTTGGTATTTAATTTTTACAGCTTTTTATGTAGTAATTGTGTTGTGAAGTTTTGCGAAAGGTATGTTGAAGCACGTTTTGTAATTCAGAGAATGCTTTTTAATCATATTTGATCATTATATGTGAGAACATTACGCGTGTTAGTTAAACGACTGATACAGAAATAAACCATTGAGATCATGACAATCTTTCCTTCAAATTGGTTTTAACAACAACACTCAAAATTCAGCTACTGACGTTTTGCAATAATTGTGTTTGAAGAGGAGACACTGGAATAAAGGTTTTTGAACAATAAGACGTATTAGCACAATTTAATACGTTATGGAGGTATAGGAGTTTTAAAAAGTAAATGAAACATAGTTAAAGGCAATAGAAATGGACTTTTGGAGGTGCTAATATAAAAAAGAACCCTAAGAGACGGTAT